TCCTTCATACAGTGACATCAAAGAAAGCATTATTTTATTTAGTTTACTAGATAAGCATAAAAGAATCTAACAAAAATACAGGTTTTTCTGGGAATCCAGATGATGGATTTAAGAAAATGTGCTGAAAGTCAATCTAAGTACTTAATTCACATGTCAACACAGACTCACATTAAGAACAGGAATATCTTAAATACACTTTCCCTTTAAAGTATTTGAGTATGCAATTCATTTTTCATGAAAAGACTATGGGTAACTTGGCATAGTAGAGTGTTTCATTGATTTTGTCTTCAGATATCAAAATATTTTACTGGAGTCCCTTGAAATAGAAACCGAGCATCTAACCTTTAATGGAAAAAAATGAAATCATAAGTTCTAGAAAAACTTTTAAAATCTTTTTACTTTTTGCCTGTCTTTGCTAGGATCTTCCATGTTGATCAATTCAAGAGTTTTCTGGGCCAGGCGCAGCAGGCTCATGCCTGTAATTCCAACACTTTGGAAGGCTAAGGTGGGCGGATCACTTAAGGTCAGGAGTTCAAGCCCAGCCTGGCCAACATGGTGAAACTCTCTCTACTAAAAATACAAAAACTAGCTGCTGGGCATCGTGGCACACACCTGTAGTCCCAGCTCCTGGGGAGGCTGAAGCAGGAGAATCGCTTGAACCAGGGAGGCGGAGGTTGCAGTGAGCCATGATCACGCCACTACACTCCAGCCCCGATGACAAGAGCAAGACTCCATCTCAAAAAAAAAAAAAAGTTTTCTGGACGGCAAATGAAGTCTTAAAACTGAAAGGCAGCACTCTTCTAGCCTTCAGAGAGAATCATATTTACGCTTTCCCAACCAAGGCAAACTCTTTTCTGGTTCCACCACTTTTATTTCCACAGCTGTAAGAAAATCGGTCCAGACTGTAAACCCTTGAACCTAGACTCCAGAAACAACTTCCTTATCAGTTCCCCTAGTACTAACCTTTTTTTTTTTTTTTTTTTTTTTATTTGGAGACAGGCTTTCAGTCTGTTGCCCAGGCTGGAGTGCAGTGGCATGATCATAGCTCATTGCAGCCTCGACTTCCCAGGCTCAAGTGACCCTCTCACCTCAGCCTCCCAAGTAGCCAGGACTACAGGCACGTGCCACCATGCCTGGTTAATTTTTTGTAGAGAAGGGGTTTTATCATGTTGCCCAATCAGGTCTGGCCCAGGTGATCCGCCCACTTGGCCTCCTAGAGTGCTGAGCCTAGTAGCAACTTCTAACTCCATCAGACAATAGTACAAAAGTAGCAAGAACAGTTTTCTTAGATTCGTCCATTCATTTACCTCTCATTAATATATGCATGTATTACTTAATAATCCATCACTTAACCATCAAATATGTGATAAGAAATCTACTAGGTACCTGGGGATATGGAGGTAATGTTACTTGAAAGACCTTTTCGGGGGTCCTGGAAGATCTCAGATCATAGTGGAGGACACAGATGCCCACAGACTATTACACAATGCTGTGTTAGGAAATTAAATGTATGTATTTCTGGGGATGAAGAGAATAGCACAGAATGAATGCAGACTTGTATCTGCTTTGGCCACCATTGTATTTCAGAACCTGAAACACTGAAACCTGTGGCACTTGGTGAATATGTGATGAATACAGGAAAGGATGGACGGATGGATGGATGGATGGATGGGTTGATGGGTTGATGGGTTGATGGATGGATAAGAGGGTCAAAGGTGGCTTTGTAGAAAAATCAACCCATTTGTAGTTTGAGGACTATAGGGGTATACATGAGAGATGTATTTCCATGATATAGAGAAAGTAAATGGCATTAGCATGTTGAGGACACAGGGCAAGTAGGTTTGTATGATGGAGCAGAGTGTGATAAAATAACAGAATAAAATTGGGGAGTTTAAAAGAAACTGCAACATGAAAGGCTTTTTATGCATCACTAAGAAATCTGGTCTTGGTAATTTAAACACACTCAAAGGTTTTAGGTAGAAAATTGATGTGATCTGATTTGTCAGGTAAGAGGACAGAGCTACAGGGAAACAAAGCATTTGAGAGTGGTGGCAAGAGAGTGGTTGAAACTAGAGGCTCTGGAATAAAGATTGATAAGAAATATACTTTCTCCTATTAGAATTCCGTAGGGCTGGCTGGGTGGAGTGGCTCACGCCTGTAATCCCAGCGCTTTGGGAGGTCAAAGCGAGTGAATCACCTGAGGTCGGGAGTTTGAGATCAGCCTGACCAACATGAGGAAACCCCGTTTCTACTAAAAATACAAAACTAGCTGGGCATGGTGCATGCGTATAATCCTAGCTACTCGGGAGGCTGAGGCAGGAGAATCGCTTTGAACCCAGGAAGCGGAGGTGGTGTGAGCCAAGATCGCGCCATTGCACTCTAGCCTGGGCAACAAGAGCAAAACTGCATCTCAAAAAAACACACAAAAAAAGTATTCTGTAGGGCCTCCAGTAACCTTGAGAAGAAGTATAGCATAATTGCTAGGACCAATCATAGTGGAGCCAGACTTCCTAGGTTTAAATCTGGGATTTATCATTTACCAGCCATGTGATCTTGGACAAGTTACTTAGCTTCTCTATACCTCAGCTTACTTACTTGAAAATGGAGATTAAAATGATAGTGCTTGCATCATGAAATTGATCATGTTTAAGACTGAGTTAGTCTATAAAGTTCTTGGAAAAGCAGCAACAGTGTTGTTAAATTTGTTAAATAAAAGCCATGTGTAATGATTTGTAACTTTTTTGTCTAAAATTATGCTTTAATTTTCTGTTTTCTTTTCTGCAAAACCATATATGTTTTTATTTTCTGTCAGGTGAAAAGTTTGTCTCATTTTTAGCCTATGATGACGGATGTCTGATTCAAAAATGGGTTGTAAGTTGAACTAATCAATCAATAGAACTTGCAAAAATTTAGATGCTCAAGATAATATTCAGTACTTCCTCCTCACGGAGAATATAAAATGTCCACAGAGAATTTGTGAGAAAGACCTTGTAGACAGAGTTGCCAGTGTACAAAGAGCCATTCACCATTACCTAGGAGGAGGAATGGGGTAAGCTGTTTTTATCACCTCAACTTCTACAGGACCACTGAGCTTCAAATGGGACTCCTGCAACTGGGGGATTTTAATAACTTGAGTCTGAATCCTGCCTGAGAATTGCAGAAAGGAGAAGGCAAACCAACCAGCTACCCCAGCAGTAGAAGTAGCACTCATAGGTAGGAACTGAACAACGAGACCACTTGGACACAGGAAGGGGAACATCACACACCGGGGCCTGTTGTGTGATTAGGGGACAGGGGAGGGATAGCATTAGGAGATATATCTAATGTAAATGACGAGTTAATGGGTGCAGCACACCAACATGGCACATGTATACATATGTAACAAAGCTGCACGTTGTGCACCTGTACCCCGGAACATAAAGTATAATAAAAAAAATAAAGAAAGAAAGAAAAAGAAATAGGGTTCCTATGTTGATCAAAAAAATGCATCAGGGCAAAGGAATGATGACTCCTTCTCACGATTAGAATCAGGGAGAAAGGGTCACGGGGAGGTATGCTGAGGAATTGTCCTGTAAAGAGGGAAGTTCAGGGTTCCTAGGGACTATGAAAGCAAAGAAAATGAGGAGCCAGATAAATGTTCCTCATGTACATCAAGGGAACTGCTAATAAAAGATCTCCAGCAATGAAGAAGCAGGGGTCCCACCCCTAAGAAAAAAGTGAGTTTGAACCTGCCTGACTCAGACCTAGCATGAAGACGGTTTACAAGAGCAAGAACCTTCTCATACCCCTGTATCCCCTCACTTTCAACATTCTCACTTCAGAGCTATTGGACATCAGGGTTAGTGAGATGGGTGGGGAAGAGAATCAAAGCAGGTTGTAGCTCATGTCAACCCCCTCACCTTTTCCCTCAGCCAGTAGAAATTAGAAGCATTAACTTCTGTATATGACACAATTAGTACTTTTAAGTACCAAACGAGACTATTTGGTGATTTAAAGTGATCTTAAGCCTTTGGCTTACATTCTGCGGTGTCCTGTAACCTCCCTTTTTCATGCAAGGGCAGGAGAATTTCTAGCTCACTGAGCAGCCTAAGAGACAAGTGAGAGAAGGAAACACATTTTTTTCTGTGACTCGCATTCTACAAATTATGCTTGACCAGGGTACGGTTATGAGTTTTTGATTTTTGTCTTCTGTTTTATTCATTTGCACATTTCACACCAGACAAACCAACTCACTCTAGACACCACTCAGGAATTATATTTCCAGACCTTTTTTCTCCCAACTGACATGAAAGTGCTTGTCACATTCAGGACTTCTAACAAACACCCCATTATTCTAATGATGCCAACAAATGTTTTGATCACTTGTTCTTAACCTGCCATCTTAGATAGATTTCAGAGAGTCTTTGAATCCCTGAAATTGTCCCCCAAATTACAGATGAATGCACATATGAACATTTTTTTTCTTGTGACAGCATTTATAGATTTGCTAGATTCTCAAAACAAGAACAGAAGAAAACAAAAAGTAAAGAAAATATCTTCATTTTTAAAACCATTCTCTTACAGCTGAGATAAATGAGATATATGCATGTCCAGGTTTGTACAAAATTGTGAAAGAGGTGAGGTATCATTCTGTGAACTTACTATTGCTAAGGGCTCTTTACTATTTTCTGTCCTCCTACCTCATGACCCTCCCGTAATAGAAAACATTAGTATCATGCATATATTCCTTACACTAATGAGTTACCTCTCTCCAGAAGTTAAGTTTAAGCCTTAGGGTATGTGCTCATAAATCAATTTCAGATGTAGTAAACAGAAAGTGGGAAATTTTCTTCATTGTTAGTGGCGATTTCTTAACCCTTGAAACTGCATTATGTAGTCTTCACCTAAGGCAAACTCTAGAACATTTATGTTTTCGGGTATTATTATAAATATGCATATATTACGCTTTAAACGTATTTATGCCCTTACTCATTTCCTCAAAAGTCATACATGGTGCTTACCACAGAGTTGCTGAGTAAATGTCTGATTTCCAGGACACTGGTTGGTTTGCAGAAATTAAATCTGATGAATGCCGGTTATTTTCTGATTTCTACTACTGACAGGATTCTCCAGGTTCTCCCTCTCTCTTTCCCCTTTTGGGTTGTTTAGAAAATTCCATTCATTTGCTTCGTCCTTTACCCCTGTTCTAGGATTTTAACTGTTATTCAGAATTGGAGCTGTTATTCTTTGTGGCCTTTGATTGTGAGTCAGAACATTAATAATAGTTCTCAAGGTACTTGAAGTGCCATTCTATTTCTGACTATTTCCCCACCCGCCCCAACAGGAAAATAATAGAAGTAACCTCCCTTTGTTTAAAAGATAGTCGCTAAATCGATTAGCTCCAATTTGTAATTTTAAACAAACGCCAACCAATATTCATTGATAATGGAGGGGGAGAGTTTCTAGTATGAACTGAATCAAAAATTTCAGTGGTTATTTACAGATTTCCAGATGCTTTTCTGACTATGTCCAAGTCACAGAGTGTTCTATGACAGTGGTAAGACAGCCCACTTTCCAGCCGTGCAGAGTTCCTCTTCGTACGGAGAAAGCCATCTCTTCTGCTCCAGTAAAGATTCCTCTCAAATCCACAAATAGACATCTCACACTGACAATGTGTGAGGAAAATGAAGAAAAAAAAATACATAAAGCGAAAGTAGGGTGAAAAGTTGATCTTGAAGCGTACTCAAATTGTGAGTCCTCAGCTGAAATTGATTTGCAGAAAGTATCTTCTGATCTGTTAACATTTTTTTTTTTTTAAAAAAAGAGATAATTTGAGTAACTGCAGTAACTACTTCTTTTACAACTAACTGGGAATGGAATTGATGAGACTGATTTGGAGAACACAGACTGAGTGACCAGAAGTGGTAAAATTAAGCCCTTCAAGCTGACTCAATGTTTGGTGCATTTAAGAAGTGCATCTACTGAGATACGTGGTTGTAAGAGGCTCCACGGATGTGGTAAGGCTATATGATGATTCCTGAGCCTCCTGCCTTCTTGGTTGGCATATTACTTATCACCTGGCTCTTGGGGTCAGAACTTAACATAAACCTTGGCTCCTCCTTCCCAGGCCTCTTGGCTGATGTTCTTTTCTACAACATTTACTTTTCATTGTATAAATTTAAGGCATACAACATGATATTTGATATACATATCCATGGTGAAATGAAGTAAGCAAATGAACATGTCCGTCACTTTCCACATGTACCATTTTTTGCATTAGAGCACCTAAAATCTACTCTTAGCAAATTTTTAATATACAACGTAATATTAACTAGTCCTTCTGCTGTACATTAAACCTCTAAACTTATTCATCCTGTACAACTTAACCTCTTTGACCATCTTCTTTGCTATCTATAACTGAGAAAATAATATCTACTTTATAATATTGTTTCACTATCAATTTAGAAAAGCACATAGAAAAGTACCTAATAGGTAAACAATGGGTATTAGTTATTGTACTATAAATGTCTTTTAATAGCTTTGTCACTTAGTTATTCACAGACCTCCTCCCATGATAACATGTCAAGATTTGTCCTAGTTTTTAAGATACCTATTATTTTCTATTTAAATAAACCTATCCCGTGTTCTATTAAATATGCATACCTAGAATGCTGGTATGACACTAAGACCAGTACCATCTTGTTGTAACCACTGTGTCTTTTTACTATGTCTTAATACCAGATAATGCAAGTAATATTTATTCTCTCATGCATTCACATAGCCAAAAACTGTTGCACACTTGCTGTTGATTGCAATTGGTTTTCAGACTGAGGCAGGAGAATAGGGTCTGGAGACAGAAAGCCTAAGGTCAACCTGCTGCGGACTTCTTAGATTTGGACTGAAAGGAAAACTCCACCTCTCCATCCCCAAGTGACAAGGGACCAGAGACCCCTCCCTCTACAAAACTCCTCCCACCCTGTGTCAGAAACAGGAAATGCCTCTAATTCGTTTGCCAGCCAAGCCTTCACTTCAGCCTCTGATTGGTTGCAGGCCAATCCTTCATTCAGATAGTGTGTAACCAATAGGTGGTCTCTAAAGGGTACCTCAGGGTGTTAACAAATTCTTTTAGTTCAACAAAAACCCTGAAGAACATTGCAATCAGGGCTCTTGAGCCGCTTGCTCCGGCCTGCTCCCCCTCTGTGGAGTGTACTTTCACTTCAATAAATCTGTGCTTTCATTGCTTCTGCTTTGTTCTTTTGTTGTTTTGTTTGTGCATTTTGTTCAATTCTTTGTTCAACATACCACGAACATGGACAACTCTCAGTCAAGACTTTCCATCTGGTAACAGTATTTCAAATGTATTCAAAGAAGAGAAAAAAAGTTTATGATTGCTTTACCAATTTATTTTCCCACTGGAAATTTTAAAACAATTTACAATTGTATACAATAGGAATTACCTCAAAATTGTGAATTTCTATTAGGAATATTGACATCTTTACACTATTGCTCAGAAGCATTCTGTATCTCTCCAATCTACATATACTTTCCAATTCATTGCCATAAAGTTATCCAGAAAGAATAAAGTATACACTTCACTCTTTTCACTCTTCTCCACATTTCTAGTTATATTCATTTTCTTATCTTAAAATTTTGTAATTGTGTTTAGTTTAGGTTGGTGTTCTGGTTACGCTTTCCAGCAGTTTGTCTATTTTCATGGCTTTCCAATACATGCTTTTTAATGTTTATTCTAACATATTACCCTTTTCTAATTATTTTGCTCATTAGTGAGTATCTAGTCAAGGATTGGGTATATATTAATATATATTAATATTTTCTTCAGTTAGAAACAAATTTTAAAAGTTTATTATGAAGAAAATATATCAGGATTAAGTTTCTAGATATTCCAAACATGTGCTGTTTTAAAGAAGTGCTTAAAACAAAATGGCTCAGAAGTTTAAAATAAAAGGAAAAAGGAAGGTATATTTAAAAAGGTAACAGTATAGAATTTGATGCCAAATGCACTTAATAGGCCAAACAGAATAATTATATGTTCACAACAGCATAAAATAAATGTAAACTTGGGTGCAACAAATAGCATGGCATTAAAATATATGGAAAAACTGAAAGAAAGAAATGAACAAAACACAAGACCCAGGCAAGATATTTAAATAGAGTACTTTCAGTGTGTAAGAGATTATAGAGAAAGAAAAGTATTTATCCAAAAATACCCTACTTTAAATCACAAAAGAACCTCAAGAAATTCTACAAGTACATTTTTTCATGCTATGCTCTAACCACTGTACCTAGAAATCAACATCAAATGTGTAATTTTAAAACATACCTGAAGATTTAGAAACTCCTTCTACAAACTAGTGAGTAAAAAAGGAAATTAAAATAATTACAAAGTATTTAGAAAATAATAATGTAGTTTATATGAAAACATAAAGTATATAGAAAAACTCATGAGGTAAATTCTTACCCTTAAGGATTTTATAAAGGTAGAAAGAGGTATAATAAATTAAATATGCCTTTGTGCTGAACTAGGCAATCTTCAAAACGTCTGCCATGCTCATACCCTTTTGTGAGGTTGACTACCTGCCCACAGTAGTGCTCACTGAGTTTTAGACAATCTAAAGACAGACATGGCCACTGGAAAAATCAGTGAGCAGTGCTCACAGTAGTGCCCCACTGCCCACACAGTGAGGCTCTGTACCATATATCCTGCTTTCACACATGGCCAATTAAATGGACCAGGAGTCAGCTTGTCATCTAAGACCTAACTCATTCTAAGGGTGGACAGTGACCAACAGGAATATAATGTGAAAAGATGAACAGGGCCAATGAAAGTCTTTAGATAGCTAAGCATCCCAAGATGCAAAACACTTCTGCTGTTCTGGCCACTGGTTGAAGTGGTCTCTGAATGCATTAAGAAAGAGAAAAGCTGATGGTCCTATTGATGTAGGATTTTTGCTCCTTAGTTCAGCTAAAACCGGGTTCCAGTCTGATGACCAGAAAAAATTAGGCACGGGAACATATTGAAGGGTGAAGGAGAACGGATTTATTAAGCATAAAAGAAAGCTCTCGGCAAAGAAAGAGGGGGTCCTACTACAGGCTCCCACCTCACAGATTGAATACCAGGACACTGCTCATGAGCTGAAGCCAGGATCCTCCCCCTACATAAGGCACTAATTCCTGGTGGCTCCATCCCATTCCCCCAGTGCCTGTGGGCCTCCAGGCAGTTGCAGGCATGCCCAGAGGAGACTGTGCAGGCTCCCTCTTCTGCACAAAAACATCTGGCATAAATACTTACAGGGCAGGTTGGAGATTCTCCGGGGACCCTTCCTTATCTGCCTAGGCATTTGTCTGCCTCTTGCCGCCATCACTATGTGTTGAGAGACGAGTGAAATTAGAAACACAGGTTCTCCTGGTGCTGTCCTGCTCAGAAACATTGATCCTAAGCAGTTATATGATAGCTGTTTTCAACTCAGTGTTTCTATCAGTCACCATTTCTAATAAGTAGCAGAAAATTATGAGATGCGAAAGTCCTTTCCTATCTCAATAGTGAAAACGCATATATTTCCTGTTCAGAGAGTAAAACACATGCCATGTTATCTAAGAATCTTAATATACGCCTCCCAAAGATATGGTATTAATGCAAGTTCTGGCCCATGGAATGAAAAAGGCTTCACAGAGGGCCTTCCCCTATCCTTAACTTGAAGTGCCATTGCTGGTTTCTGCCTGTATCAGTTTTCAATAGTACTTAGTGGAAGTCTGGAAAAAAGCATAGCAAGCTACTCCACTGAAATATACTTAGTTATTATTCTTTTTATTTCATTTCTTATTTATACAAATGCACATAATACGAAAGGAATAAAATCAAAACTTGATGACAAAAGTAATAGATGCACAAAATATAAAGAAAACAAGGGGAGATGAATAGTAGAAAATGTGTACTGTGCAGTTCTGTACAGTTGCTAAAGAGATGCTGAAGGTTTACATTTGTTTCACCAAACAAAGCGGGAAACAAAATCAGTGTTAAAACGTGTAATGTTTTCAAGCTATAAACTTTTTTATTTGGGAGAATCTGTTTTGCCTTATATCGACACATTTCCTTATAATGACATGTGAGAAAACACTTTCAGGTAAACTCCCCCTAGCTACAAGAGAAACACTGTATAGTATCAATGAATGGCAGGTTGAAAGAGCCTTGAGTCAACATAATGAGAATTTTATTCTTTAGCTTCCTTCGGTTTACATTAATGGCACAACCGAAAGAGCGGTTCAATAGAAATG